TTCCCGTGTTTTGTAAGCCGCCCTGAGTCCCCTCAGGGAAAAGGGCGGCCTATAAATTATAATAAACATTCCAAACATTCCAAACATTTGTTACCCTTCACAATCATCCATGAAGGAAAAGATACTCGTTGTCACCTGGCTCTTTAGGGATATAAAACGGCTTTGGGGTTTTGTTTTGGTTGTCTTTCTCTTCCTTTTTAAAGATTTTTTTTTTAATCCCAACTTTATTACTTTTTTATAAACAGCTCAAGGCAGCAAACATGCCTAATACTATTTTCTCTTTATTTGCGCCTCCTCCTCCTCGCCCCAACGGCAGCCCTTTGAGTCACCAGGCTGTTGTGCTTAAGATGGGACTAGAACTAGCGGTTAAATGATTACAGAAGGAATAATCTCACTAAATGCGAAGAATATTTTATATTAATAAAGGATACTTTGTTTTCTACTTTGTGTAAACCCCAAGGTGTGGCTGTCCTCATGGTAAGGTTGAACGGTCTGTAAAAGTAGAGGCTTACTTCTTTAGGGAGAAGCTGAAGGGAGGTCCAGTTTTACGTGTTTTCTCCACCCTGTTTTAATCATGTCCAAAACCATACAAGTAAATCGCTCTATTTAGCAGAAAAAATGAAAAGGAGGGAAGGGAAAGTTTTATCTCTTATTTTGAGCTGTGATTTGTTTAGGGTTAATGCCATCTTGGATATCATAGGTTTCTCCCACAGAGAATGTTTGTTAAAGGAGGGAGGGGAAAATCCAGCACAAACAATGTGCCCGCAAAATTAAAAGCCTGAGAGTACATGGAAATAGGCACAGGCAATCAACCAAGGGGGAAAAAATACGCATCATTAAATGTTGCACAAATCAGGCATGAGCAAATAAAGGGTTGGATATATTAGTTTCCTCTGAGTAGCAAAGTATTTTTCGTTTGTTTGTTAGCTAAGCAAACATACAGAACAGGTTGTACCTTACAACGGATCCCACCAATTCATTATCACGGAGTCATTGCAAACAATTATGTTCCTGGGACAAGTTGTAAGGCTACTTGGGGAAAGGATAGTCCGAATGCAGATGCAATGTCCCTGAGTGGTTAAATAGTCTCCATCTAATCGTAAAGGTTTCACCTGTGCAGTCATGTCCAACTCTAGGGGGCAGTGCTCATCTCCGTTTCTTTAGCAAGGGAGCCAGCATTGTCCGAAGATGTTTCCATGCTCATGGGACCAGCACAATTGTACACCGAGGCTCATAGAACGCTGTTACCCTCCCACTGAAGTGGTCCCTATTTATCTACTTGCATTTGTGTGTTTTTAGAACTGCTAAGTGGGCAGGAGCTGGGGTGAGGAACAGGATCTCACCCTGTCTCGCAGCGCTCAGGTCTCAAACTCGGGCTGTCAGCATTCCAGCTGGCAAATTCAGAGTCTTTACCCACTGAGCCATTGCGTCCCCCCTCCCCAATTCTCCACATAAGAACATTTAAAATAGGCATGTTCATCCATAATTCATGGGTTGGCAGTTGTGGTGGGGGTTCAAATAATTTAACAACTGGTTCTCTGCCCTAATGACCAGCTAAGTAGGCGTGACTCGTGTGCCCATGTGAGTGTGGGCAACCTAATGTCACTCACGTCGATGGGTACTTCACTTTACTATTACAATATAATAAGGGTTAACCAGAGAGGCGGTTTCTGTAAGCAGGGCAATAAAGATTAGGCTACAAAAAACACCAAAATGTTTCCTTCTTACCTTCCTTACAGGATTAGCCCTGTAAAGTGGGGAAAAAGCAAAAAGGGATTTCTTCCAACAACCAGTTCTCCAAACTGCTTAGAAAGTTAACGACCGGTTCTCCCGAATAGGTGCGAACCGGCTGAATCCCACCACTGGATTGGGCAGCACTTCTGGAATCTCAAGAGCGGTAGAAGGCAGAAGTTTGGGAAAAGCTGTCAGTTTGCTACCATGAAACGAGTTTTATGTAGCCATTTTAATTTGCATTATTGGTACCTTAATTCAGTTTGCTTTTAATGAACACAACAGTAGAGAACACATTATATAACCTCCCGTACATAAATATACATCTGCAGGTAGCATCTGTAGTCAGAAGTCTTGGCAGGAAATTTTGTTGATTGCCAAAACAAAACTTGAGTCTTTGGAGGGATTTCCACAGATTTTGGTCTTGACCCATCAAGTGTCTTTCAGCTGCATCCTGCTCAACTGTCCATCCTTGTAGGTCCGTCCAGGGACCTCCAGCAAGAACGGGCTGCATGTGCAGCTTTCCTCATGGTGGGACCTGATTGCAAACCTTTTTTGACTCTCGAGGGTGTGAGTACCTGCCTCTTTTCGGAGAGTTGCTTCTTGGTTGCGTGTTGCAAATTTTGGGGTGGACATGAGCTGTGGTAAACCTAAAGTACCATCCTAGCTGTTGTAGACCCGAAAAATGAAAAAAAAAACGAAACCAAAACCTGAGTAGTTGAAAGCTTTTAAGGGCATTGAGGGAGATATTCCCAACTGATTTCAGGGCTTTTTCTGCTGATCCTCAAGCAATAGAGGAAGTCATGGGTTTCAGAGACAGCGGGAAGTCATCCCAATTCAGACATTTCCTCCATTTAGAGGTAAAGGTTCCCCTCGCACATATGTGCTAGTCGTTCCCGACTCTAGAGAGCGGTGCTCATCTCCATTTCAAAGCTGAAGAGCCAGCACTGTCCGAAGACGTCTCTGTGGTCATGTGGCCAGCATGACTCGACGCACGGAACGCTGTTACCTTCCCACCAAAGTGGTCCCTATTTTTCTACTTGCATTTTTATGTGCTTTCGAACTGCTAGGTTGGCAGAAGTCGGGACAAGTAACAGGAGCTCACTCCAGGACTAGGGATTCGAACTGCCGACCTTTCTGATCGACAAGCTCAGCATCTTAGCCACTGAGCCACCGCGTGCGTCCCTTTTACTGCGTCCCTTTCCTCCACTTACTGCAGTGTAAATATAAATAAAGCAAACTGGAGGGAATGGTAGAGACACTGTTTTTAGAAACAGAGGACTATTTACATACAGGAAGACTAATGGAGATGCTAAAGATTAGCCATTTTACATACCCAGCAGCACAGATAAGCTGTTAATTGCTTGCTTTGTTTGAAATATTAGCTATGATTTTGATTAAAGAGTCATAGCCATAGCTCAGTGTGACCCAACTGAAGCAAACAGCATACTCCTTTGGTTAGAAAATTGGCAGTTTTTCCATCGAAGGCTGGAGAGAGAGAAAGAATATGGCGGCAAATGCACTGCAGGAGTTATAAAAGAAACGACTGTGGCAGGGGGCTCCAACCTTGGCAAGTTTAAGAGGTGTGGACTTCCACTCCCAGAATTCCTCAGTTGAAGTCAACAAGTCTTAAACTTGCCAAGGTTGGAGACCCCTGGACTATGGCACATTTATTAATAGCAAAAAGAAAGGAAAAATGCCCTCCCCTTTCACCCAGAATGGCAGCGTGCAACAGAACGATGCTTTCTTAAAAACAGAGTCCAGAAACGACAAGCAGCACAATTGCAAACAATGAAGGCACTGGAAATGTGCTGCTCCCAAGAGGTGATTTGGTTGAAGTAAGCCTTGTAGTCTTACGGACTGCGCTAGTGACATTGCCGCTCCGCCGTGTGGTGCGAACTGGTGGCACGCTAGGGGCCAGGCTGGGAGCAGCTGTGGCCTTGCTGTTGGGGGCTTCAGAAAGAACCGTGACCTTGTCGGTGGGGGCTTTGGAAACGATTGTTTTATGAGAGGTTTTGGTGACAGTGGTGGCGTTGCCCTTGGGAGTTTTGGTAATGTTGTTGTCCTTGGTGGTTGCAGGACCAGCAGTTTTGTCATCACCGGGAGCTTTGGTAGCAGAGGTGACGTTGTTGTCCTTGGTGGTTTTAGGACCGGCGGTTTTGTCATCACCGGGAGCTTTGGTAACAGAGGTGACGTTGTTGTCCTTGGTGGTTTTAGGACCGGCGGTTTTGTCATCACCGGGAGCTTTGGTAACAGAGGTGACGTTGTTGTCCTTGGTAGTTTCAGGACCAGCGGTTTTGTTGTCATCGGGCGCTTTGGTAACAGAGGTGACGTTGTCTTCAGGCGGTTTAGCAACAGATGTGTTAGCGGAAGAAATCGGAGGCGGTTGTAAGCCAGAAGCTGCATCAACTTCGGTAGAATTTTCTGCTGTTTCTGCATAGTTAATCCCGGCAAGCAGTAGAATCACGATGGAGTAGAGCTGGGGCTTCATTATGCACCTCTATGGTAGACATAAAATGGAAAGAACATTCACATCAGACTTTGTAGGACCAGCCCAACAATCCTATTTCTTTC